TAGTAAAAATAAGAAAATTTCTTAATAAAGTTTATAGAATATGTTTTTAATAATATATTCTATATATAATATAGACCTATATTATTAATATTTTATTCAATTATATTAATATTTATAAAAACTTTTTAAAAATTCAGGCAAATTTGCTTGAAAAATGGTTTAAGGAATAAAATCACTTAAAAAAAGATACGTATAGTGACTTTTGAAACATCTGATATGCTTCTAAATGAGTTATATATTTGTGTTAAATCACGATTTCTGTTAATCTGCTTTCACTTCCAAATTTTCAAGACAATCTTGATTGTTAAGTTCATTATCAGGTTCGAATAAGCATTTGATTTCTTGTAGTATTTCTAACAATTGCTTTTGATTTTTCGACTTTAACCTCGAGTATTTTTTTTGTGCACTTTCACCAAGCTACTCAAAGAGAGTTTCTATCTTAAGCAAAATATCTTCTTTCTTCATATTTTGTTTATTTTTCTGAGCATCGGCTTCTTGTTTTGTAATCAGTATTAACCTAAATTGAACCAAATTATTTTTATTAATAAATGTTTCAATAATAAACTTTTGCTGTGCCATTTTTGCAGAACATGTAAAATTTTTTAAATTCTCATCCAATTCATTTTCTTTACCTAAACTCTAACAAATATTTCTCGAATTCACTGAGTTTATGAATTCAAGACTTCGCAGAAGAGCACAAAATCTTTGATATTTTATAGTTGAATTTGGTCGAATTCTTGGTTCTGATGGTTAACTATCGTTATATCTAATTACGTCAAATAAATTGTTCCTAAGCTAAAATAGATTATCAAATTAAATTTGTAAATTTCAATAAATTAATTAAGATTAATCCTATCTTAAAGAATTTTTTACAGTTATGTGCCACAATCTTCCAATGACAATCTTGTAAGATAGGAGGTATTAAAGCTTTTAAAGTTTTATTTATCTCCTCTATAATTACGTCTAATCCTTGATATTGTTCATATATCCCAGACTGAGAAACAATACAATTTCTCTTCATAACATCACGTATCTCAGGACAAAGTTGCATCAATTGAACTTCATTAGCAACTTCTAATAGATGATAAATGAGATGATACTACACAGACCAAATAGGAGAAAACACTCTTTTTGCAGCCCTTTTTAAAAACAGATTATTAATTCTTATGGCCTTCTGATAATTGACAATTGCTTGGAGATATACGAACGTCTATTATAATAAAAAATTATTAAAAAATTCTTAATCATCATAAAAATATAGAATAACTACTATTAACCTGTTCATATTTTATATGGTAAAGTGGATCTTGCTACTCTTTAACTCAAGTAAGATATCTCTCAATTGATAGGTTTAGATGATTTTTTATATAAGGCCACAAAAGTTATATAACTATTGCTTGACAGTATATAACATAAATAGAATCTCATGACTTATAATGATTAGCGTATTTTTTAAAATATATGAGTTGATTTTTATTTTGATAACCTTGGTTCATTGCGAATCACTTTAGATTTATTTCCCTAATTAAAATAAATAAATAAATATATATATATATATTTTTTTTTTTTTTTTTTTTTTTACTTTATACAAATGCCATTAGCTGAAACTTTATTAGTTATTTGATAGTAGGTAATGATACATATTGT